CCCCCAGTAACAAACGATATTTGGACCCATAATGCCATTATACTCCAAATCTTTCACCATATCTACACTTGACTAACCAGGTACCTTCACAATGCCAGCATCTTTGGTGTAGTGGTTAGGCGTGTTGTCTTCTTGCGTAGTGGACTAGAGGTTGATTTCCAGGTGAGGAGAGTTTTTATAGAGTATCTTGGTCCTTCTGCTAGGATGCCATAACCCTCTCAGCCCGGGTTACCCTGACAGGTAAGGTTAAAGTCTGCCTCCTTATTGATCTGATTTAAAAAAACACAAAAAAAACCCTTTTCAATGATTTCATGTGTCTTCCTGATAGGTTTCTGGGTAGATGACTTCTGTTCAGATGAGAGAGGGTACATCTGTAAGAAAGTGAATGGTACTTCGTCTCCCAACATTCCGGTGCCTACGCCTGTGGTACCTGGCCACTGCCCTCAAGGTTTCCTAAGCATGGGTGAGTTCCTAAACTTTGTCCAATAGGTTGGGAGGCATTCATCATCATCAGTGCCTTTCACAGGGAAGTGTGCGGGTATATTCAAATGATATGCTCTATATATATGAGCTGACCATTTCTGTCCAGACAAATAAATTTGTTCATTAACACTTAGCCCCCATGGTACGCCGATCGGCGATGGTAAGTAGCTGTCCATTTCTCCCACAGCGATGCTGTAATATAGCCACAAAAGTGTTTTTAGGAATGGTCTCCTTTTAGATATGTGCACTAGTTAAAGTTATGGTTTTCTTTCTGAAAAGTTTGTTTAGCCTTTGAAGGCAAAAATCTAATTTTTTTACAACCTCCTCAATCTCCCCTGCAACATAAAGTTAAGTCAAATGCACCCTTCTTTGACATGTGCATGCTAACATTTCCTGACAGATTTTAGTTGGACGTCTCACTGACTTCTGTTTTTTTAGTTCATCCTTGCTACTCCCTGTAATGATATGATATACGTCTAGATTGTAGACAGTGAGAGTCGAGCGTATGTTGAGCAGGTAGCCTTGTTTATTTACGAAGTCTAGGTAACCTAGGGCGATACAAGGTATGCGCAAGCGTAGTATGAGAGTCGTTAGTTACTCCTAGTTTAGTTTCGTATTGTAGGTAATCATATCACACTCCCCATATTTCCGTTTTAGTGTGTTAACCTTTTTCATACCTTGTTCTCTCTCTCATACTCCGATCCTGCGTATTTGATAATTCTTTCATACTTAAATCTCATAGCAAAATGAACTAAAGCCTCTCTACGTCTATTATGTCTTCTAAAGTGTGCTGGAACATGTTCTTCTTTCTCTCCCT